GTGGAGGTGTGCGTGTGGGTGTGTGTGTGTGTGTGTGTGTGTGTGTGTGTGTGTGTGTGTTGTAAGCTGTCAGCACAACAACCTTTTTTCCACCCAGATGGGTAGATCCAGAATTGAGACAGCTTCGACCTTCTATAACAAAAAAGATGAAGCACACTAAAACCGTTACATTCCCTCTTCATTGTGCAGTTCTTGATTCTTTCCTTACCTTGACTTTTCTTGGGTTTTCTCTTCGATTTCTTCTTGCGCATGTGTGTGCGTGTGGGTGCGCGCCTGCACGTGTGTTGTCATGTTCATTTTACAAATTTACAGACTGTTTCACCGCACTTTCACCGTCTGTGTGTGTGTGCATTCCTAAAAATCTCGCAGCTAAACATGCCATGTCACTCCACGAAAAGATGCATGGTATGCCAGATCAGCCGTAACCGATCCCGCCTTACATACTCCTATGCATCCGCGATTGGAAACAACAGAAAACACAGATAGCCCCCAAGGTGATCAACGTTTGTTCAACTTGCACCTACCAATCAGGAGGCTGAACATCTGCTGGGTCCTGTCATAACCTTTTGAGTCATAACGACCGTCAAACCCTGTCACGAGTGGGCAAACACACACACACACCCAAGTGGGTGGACAGGCGGTCAGGAGGGTGGGTGGACAACACCACAGCGAGGCACTCAACAGAATAGCACTAAGCAGGCACGTAACGAGGCAAGTGGGTGGGCAGGCAAACGGGCGGGTGGGGCGTTAATACAGCAAGGCATGTAGTGCGGCAGCGGGTGGGCGGGACCTCAATACAGCAAGACACCCAGCAACACAGGAACCCAAAGACACAGTGAGGAACAACGTGGACTACCACCTACCTACTCACATCATAGGAAAGCCCCAGCAGACTTTAGGTTCACGCCACCATCAAGAAGTCACCCGACGAATGTCTATTACCAGCGGAAAACACAGTGTCACATGCGTCTGAAACAAAACAGACCCCCTAATTCTGTTGCAGGCACTCTGAACAAACAGGCACTGTCTAATTAGCACAGCTTTAGGGTACTGGAGTTCAGTACCTCGAAAAATATGGGAAACGGCCGAACCACATTGCAGGTAGACAACAACATAGAGCGAAATCTTAAGTGAACAAGAAAAAAGAGTTATAGATAATAATAATAATATGATTGTGTGTGTGTGGGTTGGTTTGGGGGGGAGGAGGGGGAATGGATATGCATGGGGGTGGGGGTGGCGGTGGGGGTGTGGGAAGGTGTAGGTCGATAGTGGCGGGGGGTATGGGTGTGTGGTGCCACCCGCATAGGTATTTTATCCGCCACACAGACCTGACAACCTTAAGGCATCAGTACACCACATGTCAGCCCACGGGTGTCAGCACGAAACCCGCACCACTTCGGAGGCCGCCGATTTCTTTTTTCAATGGCGGGCCTGGCCGCGCGGCGCATCCGAGTTTTGCTTGTGGCGACAAAAATTTTCTGCAAGGCTGGGGCTGTGTACCTGCGGTTTAACTATGCATTTAATGCCATCCCTTCTGTTGGACTAATGCCAATTATTTCTATCGATCACGTTTTTGGCACTTCCCACTGCAAAGTGGGTGGCGCATTCCTCATAAGCTGCTCTGGTTCAATAATATATTTCGAATGGATGAGGCACCATTAACCACAATCCAGGACTGTCGGTCTTTCGTTTCTTTATGTGTCCGTCCTGCCATCGATGATCACGCAATCGTTCCGTAGCACGATGTCTATCGTCTTTGTAATAGGCGGTCAAGGATAAAGGATAAACCTGCGAACTTAGTCGGTATGATCGTCTCCGTTCGTATACTTCAGCCCGTCTATATTTTTTGTTGTATCTGGGTCCATTCTTTCCATATGCTGAGAATTGTTCTTCCGTAGGAATCTTGGATGCCTGACATAGCAGGCATAACCAGGATTTATCGGAAAGCCAATATCGAATGCGCGCCCCATGGGACCTGATTGACACATTCGGCGCAAGAGACCCAGTCAGCAAAATCTGTTTCGTGCGGGTGAGCTGTCGCACCGTAGACTCAAGAAATGGACGTAGGTCGGCGAAACCAAGAGTAGACAGAAAGGAAGGGGGCTCAAGACGGTCTTGGGCCTGCATTGGAATATGATGGAAACCTTGACGAATATCTAATTTGCAAAACACGCGAGCACAACCAATGACATCAAGCAATTCATTACTCCCAGGAAGTGGGTGGACATCTTCGACATTGATATCGCGTAACTTGCGACGATCGATACACATACCAATTCCTACATTCTTCTTAGGCGCAATCACCATAGGAAACGACCAAGGTCCAGTGCGGGTCCAATCCATCCATTAGCTTTGAAGTTTTGGATGCGCTGTTAGACAGGTCTTCACTCAACGAAGACGTGTCGATAAGGTTTGCAGCTCATGGGTGACTCCAATATCAATATCGAATAGACCGAGAGCATTAGCATACGCGTGCAACAATTCCTCGATAGGCCATTGGAATTGATCATGAACATAAAAAGGCATGCGGATATTGAAATCAAGCCCCTTCAACATTACTCGTAAACAATGAAATGTAAAAGCGAACGACCCCTCGGAAGGGGCGGAGGACAAAAATGCGCTTCCATATTCATTGGAAAAGATGGTCACAAATAGTTACGTCTGCCAAGCTTATAGCTTCGTTTTCAGCTTCGTCCCTATCCATTACCCTTGGGATGATTCCAACCCCGAGTACCTCTAATAAGGCAGAAGTAAGATTCGGGAGTTTGCGGAGGGGCGCTTCCACTCCTTGAATCATCCTATCATCTTTGTCTTCATCAGGAGTGGCTTTCTTTAAAGATCAAACATGTCATGATATCCCTTTATCTTGCATGCAACGGAAGCATCGATCCACAAAGGATTGGAGGGGGTTCCATGACATTTGTCATCCTCGAAACCTGCAATAATGATTCCCAAGG